TAAATGTTCTTCCATTATTGCTGGTTCACCTCTTGTCCAAAATTTCATACAAGCTTTACATGTTGCTTCATAACGCCTAGGAGCCTTTTCGTTTCCTTTTATAAAATGTTTCCAAACATCCTTTTCCGGTCTTCTGCCAATTTTTCGATTTGCATCTTCATTGCTGCTTATTATTATGATAAATGGGTTGCGTTAGATAAAATTAAAAGAAAAAAAAAAAAAAAAAAAAAAAAGTTTTTTATATATTCTACGATTTGTGATACGATAAACCTGTTAAAACCCGTCGAATTTAATTAGAATTCGCAAAATTGTTATCAAAACCGTCGAAACATTCGAGACTCATCAAAACCCATCGAAACCCGTCGAAAACCGTCGAAACCATCGAAACCTGTCGAAACCCGTCGAAACTGTCGAAACAAATTCTGAAAAGTTTTGACTTTTGCCAAAATGGGTTTAGGGTTTTGCCCCGCAACTATAATAGCCAATTAATTTTTCATAATGCATATTTAGATTAACAACAGCTAAAACTCCGAATGGTTTGGATTAATCTGAAGATTTCGAATTCAGTTCGGTTTCGGATTGAATAAAAATCAATCTGAAATTTTCGATTCGGATCAGGATTTTTACGGTTCGAAGCATTAACGATAAGATTTAAATGATAAAATCTATTGCATTCATGAAAATTTTTAACTTAAACTTTACACATCATTGTATATAAGCAAATGTATTTCTAGTACCGATTAATTTGGTACTGTATTTAAAACTTTAAATAATTAAAACAAATCGAAAAAATATTGATAAAAATTTTTTTATTTTAAGTAACTAATATATATATTTATATATAAGTATTGAAATATAAAAAAATATATTGAAAGTATGTACGTTCAGAACTCGTTATAACGAACTCTTGATATTAAGATCACATAATGAATTTCTTATTTAACCATTTTTTTAAAATTTTTTGTTCTATAATAAAAATTGTTATATCAAATACAAAAATTTTGATAAAACGATTTTTTTTAAAAGTATTTATAATAAAAGAGACCGTAAATCTTTATAGAAATGTTCAACAGAAAAATTTAAAAGCTGATATATTCAGCGATTTCTTATTTCATTCAAAATTCGCTCATTTGAATTCTGAACTTCAGATATATCTTTCAACCTTTTTAAAAGTATATCTAACACATCTTTATCAGACTTTTCCTGAATATTAAGCTTGTTTAACAAATTTTGTTTCATTTCTGGAAATTGTTTAGAATCCCATTCATTCTCTTTAATTAGTTCCCTAATTTTTCTACATGTCTCATCAAAATCAGCATGATAATATCTACCAGTATAATAAATAATGAATTAATTAAATTTGAACCAAAGATGAGAAATAATTTCGAGAAAATAAAACATACATCACATCGGGAAACCAGGTTTTCCAACGTCTTTGATTTGGAAATAAGTAAAATAACTCAATTTCTGCTAAAATCTATATATATATTTTTTTTATAAAAAAATAAATAAATAAATAAATAAAATATTTATTATTAAACATAATATACCTGTAAATTTATTGCTAAAAAGTTTTTAAATACCTTTGCTTTTTGTGTAAAATATGAAGTTTCATTGTTATCATTGTCAATCGCATTACTAAGTAATCCAATCAACAAATTCATAAGGTATACAGCAATTAACAAAGAAAATAAAACTATTAAGAAAGTAAGAGATTTATATTCCCAATTAGATAAAGCACTTGAATCTCCTATTGAAAGGAAAATAATTTGAATAAAATTAATGATTATAAAAGATTAAAAAAAAAGAAAAAAAAAACTAATAAATAATACCTGTAAGGAATAAATACATTGAAAAAAGTGCAGTATCATAACCTGTAAACATGTTTGTATTTGTATCAGGTACTTGAACAAATTATGTAGATGTTTCTGATGTGATAGTATCATATTGTATGGGAACATAACTACTAGTTAATTTCCAAAGATTATTGATATCGTTATTTGTAGGTGAAGGTGGATTATCCAAACTATAAGGTTGTCTTGGACTTAAAAGAATAAAAAAAGCATGGGCAAAACTTATAAGTATGATAAATAAAATGAACAAGAAGGAAGCTATTCTCTTCGCGACACTTAGGATGATTACAAAATAGACTCCAAATAATTGAAAGGCTCTAAAAAATAATAAAAACTTAAAATCCAACAAGAGACATGAAAGAGAAAGCAAAAAATAGGGTTTCTCATTGGTAGATAACCAATAAAATGATATATAGATAGGCAACATATATACTCCTAAATCTGAAAAAAAAATATATTTATCAATATGTATATCATGACGTATATAATAAATAAATGAATTAATGAATTTCATGCCAAAATAGTTCTAAGGATCAATAATCCATTCGACAGGATCATAAACAAACTGACGAAATTCAACATATAAATGAATAAATCCAAGAATAATTGAAACGATTAAAAGTTTATTTCTGATACTTTCAGATATGTAATTTTCAGGAAATGTTGAAGCGAGAGTAAAGCATCCAAGTAAAGAAGTGTATATTATCCAAATTAACATATGATAATAAAATCCATATAAATTTCACTTGAAGTTAATTAATGTTTCACCATTCTATGTTTTATATATCTCCCTATTAATCGTTTTTACGAATGGACTAAGTTTGGGTTTAATGAATTCCCATAACCATTGCCACAAATCACATTTTTGTGGATAACTGACAAATTTGATATAAGGAATCATAAAGGTAATTGTAGGTTTCTTGCTTACAGAAAATACTGAATCAATTTTACGAGATATAAAATTACAAGAAATAAGATAACCCATATAAAGCCCATCATCCGTAATATTGTTAATAATATGAAAATTATATAAAATATGAATGATTGGAAGGGAAATTGGTAACGTTAAAAAAAATATTAAGGCTTCAATTGCATAGAATAACCATGCGCCGATATAAACACTGTTTGAAATTTTTTGTAAATAAATATCAATTCGATTAGTAAGTTTGTTCCAAAAAATCGATGGAGATAAATCCACTAATTCAATTTCGGAAAAGGGATAAAGATGTGAAACACTAAGATGGTCTATTTCATAAACTGAGGAATCTGTTATCATCCTAGTATCTGATGAAAATCTTTCAACATATTCAGGATAATATTCATTAAATAAAGGCATTGATCTAGTAATAATACTTAAAATGACTTATTTGCTTCTAAATCTTGATTAAATATTTTTAGACATTTCTTATAAATGTCATCTATCAAATCTGTATCATGTGCTTCAATGGCAAACATTAATAATGCCGTGCCATATTTTAAAAAGTCTTCATTGCTATCTTTAACATATAAAACATATCCATAAATGAATTTATCATAAATATCATTATTTTGATCAGCTTTTTCAACGTCAAGTAGGTACCCGACATTTTCTCTGATTTTTTTAATAATACCTTCCAGCTCATACATACGGTGAAAATGATTCAAAGATATTGACCTCATAAATTTATTTAAATGAAAAATAAAAATACCAAATTTTGTTAAAATAACGATAGCATTATCGTTTAATAATTTACTCGCAAGTATTTCATATTCAATGTCAGGATAAAATAAATTCATTAAATTTTTTAAAGTATAATTTGTTTCAATATTTGAAATATCAATATCCAAATTATTTTTATTCGAAAAATCTTCAATCTTCTTTAATCGTTTAATAAAATGACTCTTTAATTCTTTTATTTTGGACTTCCATTGATCCTTTTCTAACTCTTTCAATTTAGTTAATCGTTCAAGAATATCTTTTGTCAACTCATCATCAATTTCATCTGTATTTCTGTCTTTAAAATATGATAGCACTATTTTATGAGGACGATCTTCCTTTAATTTGTCATAATCATCATACCACTTTTTAAAATCATCTTTTACTTCAGTTACTATATTAATAAAAACTTCTGAATTAGCTAGAATTTCCGAAAATATGTTCATTGGACGTACTTTATCGATATCTTTAATCCCATTTAGTGCATCTTTAATATCTTCAACTAAATTTTTACTTTTATTTTTCTCTAAATTTTAATAAATTTATCAATTGACTTTATATCAGATTTAGTTACTTGTTTAATAAATTCTTTGATAATTCCCCCTTGTTTATCTATAATCTTTATCTTGGTTTCTTATCAATAAAACCTTTCAAATACACATAAAATTTTTATCATCTATCATTTCAATTATTCTTTCAATGAAATTTTTCACTAAAGGTTCGATAATTTTCCTTTGTAAATAATTGTTTTTGTTAATAATTTCAGTTATCTCCTTTATAAATTTATCTATTTCAACATCCTCATCTTTTCCAGATTCATTTTTATCAACATCCTCTGATTTTCCAGCAAATTCATCCAGTAAGTCACGAAATTTTTTAAGTTTATCCTCATTTGATTCTAAACTGTTGAGTTGAATTATCTGTCTGATAAAAAATTCCTCTAATTCTGATTTAATTTTGTTCATTGCAAATGAATTTACATACTCAAAAGTTTCTTTAGTTTTTAACCCTTCAAGTTCTACACTGAGATTTTTCACTAAACGTTCAATATTCGTCCTTTTTAATTCATTTTTTGTTTTAATAGTTTCAGTAATCTTTTCTATAAATTTATCTTTTTTATCATTCTCCATTTTTCCAGCAAATTCATTCACCAAGTCAACATAATTTTCAAGTTTATCCTCATTTGATTCTAAACTGTCGAGTTGAATTATCTGACTGATAAATAATCTCTCTAATTCTGGAATTTTATTTCTCGATTCAAATTCACAAAACTCAGTTAAATCTTTCGGTGTTTCTTCAGCTTTTAATTTTTCAGATTTTAACTCTTCAATGAAATTTTTCACTAAAGGTTCAATACTTGTCCTTTTTAAATCATTTTTTGTTTTAATAATTTCAGTTATCTTTTCCATAAATTTATCTTTTTTATCATTCTCCATTTCTCCAGCAAATTCATTCACCAAGTCAAATAAACTGTCGAGTTGAATGATCTGTCTGATAAATTCTGATTTAATTTGGTTCATTTAAATATATCAATTTCTTCAATTAAACTTTCTGTGCTATTAATTAATTCTTGTTCATAGATTGCAGACTTATGTGAAAAAATAAATTTCAGTTCATTATTAAAAATTGCACTTTTAAATATCTCCGCAGCATCATCTATAGTTAATTTATCAAGTAGTACATCTAAATAATATAAATAGTTTCCAATTCTATGACCTTTTAGGTTCGAAATAACATAATTTCTAAATTCATGCATTTGTTTATACTAAAACTTGTTTATTAACATTATCAACTAAATAATCAATTTCATCCTTGATTTCCATTTTCCTTGTTTTTCTAGTATTAATTTTTTTTTCCAGCATTTCATCGATTTTAATTTCCATATGATAGAGCCTTTATCTAATCGATATTTTCCTAAATCAACATAATGATTATTATTGAACTTATAAATTTGACCTCAATAGCGTTAATGCATCTATCTTTAATTGTAAACGTAAAGTATTTCGAATTTAACTTATAAAATAGAGGAAGATTTGGTGAATCTTCAATCATTGAATATAGAAAAACATAATCAAGCAAAGAAAGTAATAAACAACTTAAGTCAGGATGGTTTTTAATGAAGTTATACAGTAGTTGCTCTCGCATATCTAAAAAAAACCAAAGTGTTAATATATGCAAAAATGGTATAATTTTCATCAATTTAATTAAATAAACCATACCATTATTTAAATTCAATGTCGTAATAGGAACTCCCAATTTACTTGAATATACAATAATTTTATTTTCTATTTTCAGACAGGTATATTCTTCATTATTAGCGATTCCAATATCTTCATTTTTAATCTATTTGATTTAAGAAACAAATATTAGTTTTCTAATGAATAAAATTAAAAATCATATTTTTTAATTACCTCTTGCATAATTTTGACTATATTAGTAATATGACCAGTAAGGACATTCCATTCATATATCCTGTCGTTTGAACGTAGTAAAATTCTATCATATTTTGATATATTTATTACTTTCACATCTTCAGAAAATTTAAAAATCTTTTGACAATTTGCTTTATTAATTTCGGCTTGTATTGAATAAACGCAAACGAGATTTATATCTGATTTCACAAAGGGGGAACTAATCATAATCGAACTCGAACAAGAGAAAATAAGTTCTCCATTTACGTTAAATTCAAAATGTTGTATGTTATTCACATAAAAATCCAAAAGCAATTCTTTTCCTTTAGATGGGTGATTCATATCAATTATATCTAATAATGATAAAGAAAATTTTGATTACAATTAGAAATAAGGACACTGTGAATATTTCTGAAGTATTTTGTTAATAATTATACTTACTGATAGATTGTTAGTAATTTGAAATATATGCAATCTTCATTTGATCAGAGACACATAACCCTGAAATTCCATCAATTTCACCAATAAAAGGTTGGTTATCTTGTTTATAATTTATTACTTCCCTCTCTTTTATTTTTTCATCTTCAATTTCTTCATCACGCGTCCACCAGACAACAACTTTGTTTGTTTTATCATAAGTAGCTATATAATTCCCTTTCGGTGATATTTTTATTAAACGTTTATCATAATCATCATAATCATCATCATAATCAATAATAATATTATTATCATCTTCTTCCATCTCTGAAATATGAATTTAATATGGATTTGGAGAAAAACCATCAAATAATTAGGATCTTTTAAATATGAAAAAAATAACATGCAAAGCAACGTTAAAATAAAGTACAAATAAACATAAAAGGATAATTTAATAATAAAAATATATAAGGAAATTACAATAATTAGTCCAGCGAAGTGAAAGGTGATACAGATATCACACTCGAAATTTTAGTCAATACGTGATTGGTCCCTTTCGTTATACTTGTACTCCGGACTTCCCTAGTGTAATGGTAAAAAAAGATTATCGTTTTCTCATTATTATTGTCTAATCTGATACAGGTAGTGTTAATTTTTTTTTGTTGTCCACATTTACAATAAATAAAGTTATACTGCATGATCGTCATAATATGGATAATCAATCATTATTTGCATGTACGATAGAAATAAAATATTTATTTTTTTTATTTTTGGAACAAAAGATTTATTTTCTTTTTTAGAATTACAAATTAATTAAGAAAATCAATTATTATTGGATGTGTTATACCCCAAATTCGTTGATTCCGAAATGCGCATTTCGCATTTGGGGTACAAAATATGAGATTTTTGCAATAGAAAGGGGGGAACAGCCAGAAAAAATAAATTTTACTTTTATAAGCATTCACTCAATTTTTATTTTTTCTAGCCGTTTCCCCTTTTATATTGCGAAGGTCCCATATCTCCAATAAAAGTATTCTACATATGTATTTTTTTTAAAAAAAAAGAATTAATTGGTCTTAATTAACATTGCCTGCCTGCAAAAGAAATGGTTTTTTATTTAAACATCACATCAATTAATTTTTTAAGCAATATTGTTTGACATATAATCGTTATCTAACATACCTAACAGTCTGCAAGGGATAATAATTGTCCAACTATTTTGTACCACTAATTAAAATTTATATTTAAATATTATTCATATGCAGTGTTAATGAACTATTTATATTATAAATAGATATGTATTAGTTATTCCACGGGGATCAATGGATATCATTGATTTTCACGGCTGCGCTGTGAAAATATCAATGATATCCATATGATCGCCGTGGAATAACTTTTTTATCTCCTGGGGACTAACGCCAGTGATGAAAAATTTTAGTTTATTAATAGTTTATTTTATTTAGCTATGAAAAGTTTATTTCATTATAGAACATTTATTTTACTATAAAATTCCCACACTTTCTTTCTCTCTTTTTTTACTCCTCTTTTGAAAACAAAAAATTAAAATGCCTCAAAAACATGCCAATAAAGAACAGAGACTTCACAAATCTTTTAACCCTGTCTTCACTAATGCAAGTACTTTCTATCATTCTCAAAA